GAAAGATCCAAATTATGATACACAGATTGAGAAGTTATTGAGTAGATATGACATCTGTGCATCCATATTTTGTCTTAGGTTCTGTGTCCTTCTGTTTTATAACAATATGGTAAACTGTGTCTAGGATCTGAAATGGGCTCTCTCATGGTATTCATCATCATGGCCTTTTATTTCCTCCACTTTGTTGGATTGGTTTCAGGGTGAGGTACATCTAAATTATCACAAAGCAAGGCAAGGTTCCATTTCCCTAAAGATGCAAGGCTGTAGTTGGATGATGTGCCAGGTGTTTCGATAGCCTGTGCATTCACCAGTATACATGGGAGGGTCTGGGGCATTTAGCTTCTTCTTACAGAACTTTCAGAAATAGGTAAAGAGAAGGTAACCTTCAAAGGACTATAGACAAAAGGTGTGTATATGCGGGAGCGCTTTGCATTGTTTGTTCTTTTCTTCTCCCAGTTTTCAGGACTCTACATTCTGTCCTTTACTGTCATCATGGTGGGGTTTATCCTGTACTGCTCCACCCCAACGCGCACAGCAGAGCCAGCGGAGAGCAATGTGCCCCCAGTCACCAGCATTGGAATTGACAACCTTGGACTGAAGCTTGAGGAGAGTGGTCTCCCAGAGACCCAATCTGCGTTCTTGTAGCTGGAGAGGATGGCACACACCTGTGCAGCACCAGGAGAAAGCAGAACCCACGGACTGCTGAGAGACACTTGGGGGAATGAACCCTCTATAGCATGGATTGCACTCAGTGGTTAGATTTTAGAAAGGAACATTGAACAATGTATCAAAAATAGATATACCAAAATAGAGCAGAACCCAAGACTAGGACCTGTTTCTTCTGTGTGATAAGGACCAAAACCTTTGGGTGAGAGGGAGACAAGGTGTGGGCCCTGCTGCGGGTATCTCAGAGGTACATGTGAGAGAGCAGAATGGGGGAATACCCAGGAGGGAACCAGCCTTGGGCAGGGTCTGAAAGCAGGCTGTCCAGCCTGGGCTAAGTGCTCAGGAGTAGGGATGGTCCAGGGCGGTTCTGGAACAGGTTTCCTCTGTTGGAAACTTTGGGGTTTTGTCCTGCTGAGGCAGTTATCCACAGGCCTTGTGGCCTTTGGGCACAGATGAGTCCTGGCCACTGACTG